CGCAAGCCACCCTTCTCTCCGCCCTCACATCTATCTATCACCTCGACAGAAAAATGAAGCCCGTCGTATCGGCGCTTAATGCCTGGAGCTGGTAAGAGGAACTTTAGTAGCTACAGACTCTTTAGGAGGTCCATATCTACCTAGAATACCCACAACTGACAGGGGTCTTTTCGCCACAGCTTTGTCATTTCTATCTTCGCCGTGATCATCCTATCAGTCCTCGGCTCTCTATTCAAAGTACGTCAAAACATCTGACATACCATTTGAAATCCAAATGTTATCAAAACGCGCAGGAGGGGAGACAGTTGCTTCAAAATTTTTACCCATCATTACGAAGAGATATTTTAAGAGCTCGGGAGACAACAGCTGGCTGACACCCTCTTTACAGAGCAATCACCATTCCCTCACTGGTTCCATCGACGACCCCGAAAACGGACCAGCTGTTGCAGCGTCGATATTCACGGCCGCCATCGTATACGCAGTACGTATCCACATGTCCTCGCCTCCGTTTCTCGAGAGGCCGTTTTGCGGCACATTAACTTGAGGCACTGTTAGGTTACTAATCCTGAGTTCTTTCTTCTTAACATAGTTCTTCATGGTATTCTGCGGCATACAAGCTTTCCTACACGTCCGATCGAGTCGAAGAGGGGCAATATCGTTGAACTAAAGAAATGCGCCTTTCGTTATTTATAGTAATGTCAACCTAATAACAGGATCTTCTCTTCAGAAAGTAACGGTTGCGAGGATCGAGATAGAGACTTGCGAGAGGGTGGCTTGTTTGATTTCCTTGTCCCATTTTGTTGCTTTCCAATATTTGGACATATATCTTGCATGCTTGGCTGGGCTGGGCGATGCATATCGTGATTTGAGCGATTGATTGATGATAGCTACACATATCAAATAAAATCCAAAACTGGATCGCACTTGCCGGACATTCTCCACCTTTGCCATGACCTGCGGCGGCATCAGGTGGTAAACCGGAAACGAGGATATAGAAAAGAGCTGCTGAACCATATATAATAGCGCTGGGAATTGCCAGAGTAGGAACACAAGAAGAAACGCTGCAGGGAGAATGTGTCTACAGTCTACAGCTTCTGGTTGCCGCTTGCTATCAAGAATCCCCGTCGCTGTACCTCTGCTTTCGCACAGGATCAGCCTTCTTTTAGGAGCCATTCGTTGAGGGATCTGTATGTGTACCTTTACTCTGCTTTTATCGTATTTACGTATGTATATGCTATTTTTATTGGGTAGCTTTGCTTGGCTAGCTGTGTAATGGGAATATAGTGGATTTTCGCAATGGACTTTGGGGCCTAATAAGCTCGCATGTATGCCTCATGAGATGTAATTGAATGATAGAGTTTGCAGTAAGATGTGCTGCGTGAAGTTCCTTGTAATTTTTCCCCGAACGCCAATCCGATAACCAATCCTGACCGTTCACACAGTATTCACACCTAAGAAAAACGCCATCATGAAATAGTCTGAAACGCAAGGAGATGCAAAGGAAACCCAGTCTATATACGACCGCTGAGAGAAGGAAAACGTCTCCCAGTGAACATTGCAAACCAGCAATCTCGCTCTCTTTTTTCTCTTTTCTTCCCTCCCATTGGTTTTTTTCTTGCCATCACTCTTCCTCACCCTCAAAGCCATGCCGCTCG